TTCATTGCTTTAAGATGGCATAGCATGTGGTCAGAACTCTTGTCTGCCTTCATGGCCAACAACGACAGGAATAACTCATGTTGGGAAGAATACTTTAGTGAGTGTGTCTGAATTATTTTTACTCTCACTAAAGTGAGAAAAATACACTATATATGTTGATGATGTTGATGTTTTCATTAGTTTTTGTGTAATTGCATCATTCTACTGAAATGTATTCTATCAATGTTTGAACCCTGACTATATCCTGAATACACACAAAAAAAAAATCTGAATACCGTTACTCAAAACAGTATTGTGGATACATTCTCCCAGTGCATGTGCCCGTGTCTCTCCTGCACTGATAACATGCATCCGCAGGTCTGGTTGCACTGGTGCTGGTGGTACATTAGTGTGTTCTTGCCTGCAGGTGCTCCATGAAACCCAAGATGAGCCCCATCCTCCAGCATAACAACAACAATAACTACCCCTGCCACCAAGCTGGGGGCCCCGGGGCCCTGCCACACAAGTGCTCCCTCCCTCTACCCCTGCCCAGTCGCCCTGAGCTTAGCCTCACAGGTGAGACTGTCACCATGGAAACATTCATCATTACGGTACAATACAAATGTCTTCATAACATTCACAACTAATTTAATATAATTTATTCAATGACATTTCTCAAAGTAATGGGGCTTTTTGTGATTAATTGTTTTTTATTAGTGAACACTCAGAGAATGTGCCATAAGGAAACTACAATATTGTCTTTGTGTCCAAATATTAACCATTCATAGTTCAAGTAGTAATATTTTCATGTCAAGTCATCATTAAATGGCCCCAATATTTCAAAAGGCGTTATTAAATCATGCTCTTTTCGAATACATCTTTAACTGACAACAGTAGTTCAGAGATATTTGAATATCAAAATCAGTTTTACGACCCGTAAAAGTTGTTATTGTTTTCATTTCGATGTCCCACCCTCCGCTGTTTCGCCAATCAGGAAGTCTGTGATCCGGGCGCCAGAACTCCCCGCGGCTAATCTCACTGGTAAAACAAGTGGCCACAGAACTAAAAAAGGTCTTGTTACGATTCTCAAATCATTAATGACAAAACAAAGACCAAAACGAGGATTTATATCGGGACACCTTTGAAAAATTGAGACAGCGGATAGAAGTTTTTGTGTGATGCAAAACTTGCTGCTTTGAGTGCGTTCATTGACAGTTAAATCACCGTGTGTATTGGTGGCCAATACGTCGGTCGCAAAGGAAGTATTGGTAGATCGCATTACATAAAAAAATTATCCAGTTATGCATTTGTGTGTAGACAGAGATAACCGGAGTTTTGCGTTTTCGCACGTCACAGTCTGCCCCAAAACAACAACAAACAAAACGTGCGACCTTTGACCTCTGAAGAAGGATCTCACTGCCTTAAAAACTGTTCACAGCAGAGAGCAGCAAAGTGATCACAGGGACTCATGCTCGAAAACCACCAAAACAGGACCTAAACCAGATTAAACCAGGACTAAAGCAGGACTAAAGCAGGACTAAAGCAGGACTAAAGCAGGACTAAAGCAGGATTAAACCAGGATTAAACCAGGATTAAACCAGGACTAAAGCAGGACTAAAGCAGGACTAAAGCAGGACTAAAGCAGGACTAAAGCAGGACTAAAGCAGGACTAAAGCAGGACTAAAGCAGGATTAAACCAGGACTAAACCAGGACTAAACCAGGACTAAACCAGGACTAAAGCAGGACTAAAGCAGGACTAAAGCAGGACTAAAGCAGGACTAAACCAGGATTAAACCAGGATTAAACCAGGACTAAACCAGGACTAAACCAGGACTAAACCAGGATTAAACCAGGACTAAACCAGGATTAAACCAGGACTAAACCAGGACTAAACCAGGACTAAACCAGGATTAAACCAGGATTAAACCAGGACTAAACCAGGACTAAACAGGACTAAACCAGGGCTGAGGACAGGGGTCAGTGCTTGTAAACATGTCTTCACCATGGATCTATAATAATATGTCTTCACCTGAGTTTCTTCTATGACTGTAAAAGTCACCGCTACAGAAGAACCGGCGTCTGCATCAAAGCTCCGCCCACTTCTGTGTTTTTCCCCGACGCAGGACGTCAGAGACGCACATGTTTGAATGTTATGAATGTGATTAAATGCAGATGTTCGTTATGTGTGGATGCAAATTATTTCATAAATCACGCGGTTTTGCTGCAAAAGTCTGAGCACCCCTGGGTTAAGACATAGAGCTTGCATTCCAGCGACCCCGGTTCGAGTCCGGGCAAGGTCTGCTTGTTTTTAATTGCATCATATTACATTTTATGACAGATTGCGCAAAAACAGGTAAAAGACAATAATCAAGACGTTTTTTGCAGATTATAGTTTATTTGTTAAAAGAATAATTTGAGACCACATGTACCCAATTAAAATAATGTTAGTCTCTTTTTGATGTGGGACTTGTACATGTCTATTGAAGGGTATATCCTCTGGAGCAAACCCTGAAGAAATATGTTCCAACATCCATTCTTCCCACTCCTATTTTGGACATCAATTGCTTATTTAATTTGCATAATCCATGTATAATTAAATTGCTTTTATTTTGTTTTTCTCATCTCAAATGTCCAAATAAAAATAAATTAAAAAACATTCATTCAAAACATTAATTCAACATTAGCACGGCTCATGGCCATGTGAGAGACGGACAAACAACTGATAAAATAATTCCCTGTGTTTGCTGCTGGATTTGGTGTGAATCTGGCAACCTGAGTCAGGGAGAGTGGAAGAGGACTACACAATATTGACTGTGACTGCAGTACCACTTTTGGCCAGATTTTTACATCCTGCTCCTTTCATTGTCACTACACATCACTGAACTGAAAACTCCCGCTGCGAATAGTGTTTTTTCCAAAGCTGGACTAGCTTGCTACATTCCTGGATGCGAGCACTGGTGAAAGTCTTGTTACTTTTGCAGCGTAGTAACTGCGCTCGACGTCCGCGCGATTCAGGGGTCTGTATTTCTCTACTTCCTCTGGTGCAGACCATGGATGTATTAGGTGCAGACTAAGCCCCGGTGATCCAAGATGGCGCCCTATTCAAACGAACGGCTTGTGCTCAGTGGCTCATGGGACTTCATGGAGACTGAAAGATTAGAGGAACTCGCCTATATTTGGGCATTGTCTGGTCCTCCCGGTTCTGCGCAGTGGACGAGCTCCCATGATGCTTTGCGCCAAATACGTGTGTGTGGCTCTCACGCACGTGCACAGAGGGGCTCAGCCTCGCTCTGACCAATCAGAGCTGATCAGAGCAGCAGCAGGGCGGAGTCAGAGCGGGAAGGAAAGGAGCAGAGTTTGTGGCAGTAAAGTGTGGATTTAAAGAAAACCGAAGGATTTAAGAAGAAAAAAAGTTCAGGACGACAAGGGACACTAAAATCTCCACAAAATCTGATCTTTATGAAAGCTGTAGGTTCTCTGTCAGGTTCTCTGTCAGGTTCTCTGTCAGGTTCTCTGTCAGGTTCTCTGTCAGCTGAGGTCGAGCTGGTTTAGTTTACATTGAGTTCTATGGGACTTTTTTCTGGGTAGCCTACATGAATTTAGTCTGCAGTACCACAGCGCCCCCTGTGCCCATGGGTGGGACAGCTGTAAGCTAGTAATACTCTATCCAGTTATTATTATAGATCCAAGATGCAGACCCACATGGTTCTCCTTAAACACAGGGATCTGCTCCTCGCAAACTAAGCACAGCTTTACCTCTGTCTTCAGCAGTTAAAACTTGAAAGTGTAATTGTTGTTGAAAATCCTCCATTCCACATCTACCTTTCTTTGTTTATCCTGCGTGCACATCGTTGGGGGCGAGTCACAGTGAACGATCATAACACGCGAATGCCCTCATGTAAAACAGGAGCCACGAACATACAGCCACCCGAGGGGGCGGCAACGCAGATGCGACGTGAAATTGTTGTGTAATTGTTGCAAAATGGTTCGATTCATTTATCCAAAAATCTTTTTTAAAACCACAGTCGGAGAGCACAAGTTTACATGCCTCTTGTTGAATTGAATGAAGAGTTGATGATCAATTTTTTTGTGGTAAACTCATACACTGATTCTACTGTATGTGTCCTCTTCCCTCAGGTCTGCCCCTCATCAGGGGGCTGCGGGCATGGGCTCTGTGCTCCCGCAATCGTCAACGGCATGGCCCCCCTGGACAGCTCCCTGTTGCAGATGTGCAGCTGAGTGCAGAATGGGGTCTGCCGTTGGGGACTGGGATCGGCGCCCTGGTGGCCACGCTGCAGACGAGTGAGGGCAGCAGCCGCACGCAGACTCCAGTGACACAGTTCCTGCGCTCGGACAGAGGCAAAGCCTCCCCCCACACAGCTCCACAGCCGCCCGGGGGTCTGCTCCGAGGCTGGCTGCAAAGCAAGAGCGGGCCTCCTCCTTTGCCTCCACACACTGGAGCCAGCAGGCCCCGAGAACGCTCAGGTATGCGCTTTATCTCCTGATGATCAGCTGAGGGGGTGTTTAGCACTTTATCTCCTGATAAGCTGAGGAGGTGTTTAGCACTTTATCTCCTGATAAGCTGAGGAGGTGTTTAGCACTTTATCTCATGATCAGCTGAGGAGGTGTTTAGCACTTTATCTCATGATCAGCTGAGGAGGTGTTTAGCACTTTATCTCATGTTCAGCTGAGGGGGTGTTTAGCACTTTATCTCCTGATAAGCTGAGGAGGTGTTTAGCACTTCCATGAAGTATACCTGGTGCATGTTATGCAGAGTGCTTCCCCTGTCTATAAACAGCACTACATGAGCTTGTACACATAATATTCACAGTTTATGGGCAATATTTTCAAAGTAAACATGAGACGTGTTGCTCTAAAGGCTGCAGCAGTCTAAAGTCTGATGCAAAACTTGCCACGTTTAGTTGAAAAGCCTGCCTGGGAACTGGCAGGCTTCAAACATGATGAGTGTAGTGAACAAGCATATAAAAAGACATGCTAAATTATTTCTCATTGAAGTACTAATTGTGAGTACTTTCGTACTAATAAGTTCTGAAGTACTCACAATATTCTATGGTAGACTGTACAGTCATACATACATATATATGTGTATGTATGTATATATATATATATATATATATATATATATATATATATATATATATATATATATGTATATATGTATATATATATATATATGTATATATGTATATATATATGTATATGTGTATATATATGTATATGTGTATATATATGTATATGTGTATATATATGTATGTATGTATATGTGTATATGTATGTATGTATATGTGTATATATATGTGTGTATATATATGTATGTATGTATATGTGTATATATATGTATGTATGTATATGTGTATATATGTATATGTATATATATGTGTGTATATATATATATGTATATATATATGTATATACATATATATGTATATGTATATATATGTGTGTATATATATATATATATATGTATATATATACGTATATACATATATATATGTATATATATACATATATATATATATATATATATATATATATATATATATATATATATATATATATATATATATATATATAGCTTAAAATCCAAACAAAACCAAACTCATTATTTTCAGAAACGTCTACCAAAAATCCTAATAGATGCACGTTCAGTTTATTTGCTATTTGCAGTTTAAAACCTCATTGGACAGTCTTGTTAAGAGCTTTCCATTAGCAGAGCAGACTCCCTTGTTTAGAACTCTACTCATTTAGAGTGGAGCTCCTTGTTTATAGTGTGCCACCTTGCTTAAAGCTCTCCTGTCTTTGGCTGTGATGTAGCCAAAGCACACAGAACCAACAAGTAACTTTCTAGTGAAGCAGACGTGAGTTCTCAAAGCTTCTGCAGAAAAAAATATTTTTATAACACAATTCATACACAAAGGAACTCAAAGACGTTGACAAGCTTTCTTGTCTTCTCAATGTACCAGTAGTTAGTAGAACATGTTTTCAACTTTAGGCAGTTAACATTTTGGGCAAGAAATCGTTATGGAAGTTTGCCTCATTTTCAAAGTTTTAAATGCACTAGCCCCCCCACCACTGAATTAATTTATTCAGATAAATCAGATGGTGAATTAATTCAGTGGTGGAAAAAAATAAGAACCAGAGCCATAACTACAGGTGATTGCAAAGTACCGAGGCTTAGAACAAACTTTGGTCAAATGGTCTCGGTCAGAAACAGCGACAACTACTCACTTAAAATAAATCCCTCAACAGTGGTTAAAAACAACTCAGACATGAACCCATTTGGCTTAAATGCTGTACTCTATCTGATGCTTGTTCCCTTTTGGTCTCTGGTTCTCTAACTGGGTTAAAACTGCCTGTCTGTGTCTGCTTCACCTTGATATTGTCCGACTGTTTTCTGTTTTGTATTTAGTCATGTGTGATCTGTTGTGCAAGGTTTTAATTTATTTTGTGTCTGTTACCTTGGAACCTGCCTTGGGACTAAGGCGCATTTACACTGACGCTTAAGGAATCAATGTTGAGGATGTTTGTAGTGTCCCAACTCAATAAATAAATAAATAGAATTAAATGTTGCAGTGTTCAGCCATGTTTCGGTGAGTGGTTATAAATTATTTTGTTTACAGGTCGAAGGTGGAGAAAGCCAGCTAACCACACTACAAACCGCGAGAAGTCCCAGTTTTGGCAAGAGCAACGAGAAGAGAGCAGAGGCAGAGCTGCTAGAGACCTAAACCTGAGACACAAGCCCACACTATCACAAATCAGAAAGATACACAACCAGCAGCATGAGGAGGTTAGCGGAGAAGAGACCAGAGGGGAGACCAGAGGGGAGACCAGAGGGGAGACCAGAGGGGAGACCAGAGGGGAGACCAGAGGGGAGACCAGAGGGGAGACCAGAGGGGAGACCAGAGGGGAGACCAGAGGTCAGTATGAAGAAAAAAGCATCGAAAGGAAGCAAAAGATACTTGGAGATAAGAGCAGAGAGGAGACCAAATATTTGAGCAGATACAGGCGCATGGACGACTGTAGAAAGACACACTGTGAAGGCAAGGGAGAGGAGTGTAAAGAGCAGATTGAAAAAGACCAAGCAAAGGAGCGTGTAAAAGAATCCAGCGAGGAGCTCAAACATAAGCAACAGCACAGTGAGGTCGTTCAATCAGACTTCAACAGCCAGGAACCACTGTCTCCCATGGACAAACATGAAGATGGATCTTTAGCCGGGGCACAGATAGAAGTCAGTGCGAGGACAGCAGCGGCTCAACAAGAGGCGCACCTCCTTTCTTCTCCAGCAAGGGGCAGCATTGGAGAAGATGAAGCTCTTAAGGTCAATCCTGCTGCAGAGACTTTGGAGCAGAGGAGCCCTGGAGAAGTTTGGCAGAGTGAGAGCAGAGAGGTCAGGACACTGGAGGAGCCGTGGGAGCAGGGGGAGAGGGGCAACCCCTGTCCGGAGCCAGAGGAGCAGGAGTTTGGAGGCTTCATGCAGGCCCCGGCAGCCTCCAGTCATGGTGAGTGTTTTCTGAGGAAACGCAACAGGTGTAAGTAGGCAAGAAGAGACCAAATACAAACAGTCACATACATTTTTGAGTAGAGTAGATAGCCCATATCAGATTACACGATTCATCTCACTAAACGATACTTGAGATGGATATGTTTAAGATTGACTCCTGCTTTGTTTGGTGAGGTTTATAATACTTCCTGGTTAGACATGAGCGGAATATGTAGGTTTGCACACTAACCAAAACCCCCAAACAAAAAATAACTTTTATTATGAATCAAAGGCCTATGATCATGGATCTATAATACTAACTGGATAGAGTATTACTAGGTGATAAAGTGTGGATTTAAAGAAAACCGAAGGATTTAAGAAGGAAAAAAAGTTCAGGATGACAAGGGACACTAAAATCTCCACAAAATCCGATCTTTATGAAAGCTGTAGGTTCTCTGTCAGGTTCTCTGTCAGGTTCTCTGTCAGGTTCTCTGTCAGGTTCTCTGTCAGGTTCTCTGTCAGGTTCTCTGTCAGGTTCTCTGTCAGGTTCTCTGTCAGGTTCTCTGTAGGTTCTCTGTAGGTTCTCTGTCAGCTGAGGTCGAGCTGGTTTAGTTTACATTGAGTTCTATGGGACTTTTTTCTGGGTGGCCTACGTGAATTTAGTCTGCAGTACCACAGCGCCCCCTGTGCCCATGGGTGGGACAGCTGTAAGCTAGTAATACTCTATCCAGTTATTATTATAGATCCATGATAAAGCCCCATGAACGATGGTCTTGCTCACTCAAAACTGTCTCAGCCACTGCCCTGTCTCCGCATGTAGCAGAGAGAGGATGCAACGCGCTTCTCCGTAGGAACGGGCTCTTTGGGCAGTGGCTCTTTGGGCAGTGGCTCTTTGGGCAGTGACTCTGGGGCAGTGGCTCTGGGGCAGTGGCTCTGGGGCAGTGGCTCTGGGGCAGTGTGCAGCAGGTGCCAGGAGAGGACCCACTGCTCAAATATGGTCATACGTATCTTTCTCTCTCACAGAGATTGCTCAGATGCCTCACCCGGTTAATGATGAGAGCCACCACTGAGCTGAGGCCAAAATATTATCATTCATTCATTCATTTATTCATTTACTTCTGAAGTTGAAGAAAGATGAGTGCTGCAATGGGTCTAGACAATAGGGAAAAAATGCATATATTTTTAAACAAACGTGAATGAACTCAGGAGTGTGTGGCAAAGGCTTTTTGAGGATTCCAACAGTCTTCTTGGCCGACTTCCTGCTGACCTGTCGTAAAAACGGGGCGTGAAACAAGCAGTTTCTGAATATTTATTGGCATGACTTTCATAATTACGCTAGTTTTCACCGCGCATTTATGAACAGCCGCAGCTGTGTACGCTCAGTTCTGGGCGCATCTCATACGTTCATAAATCCCGCGTTGGCTCTTACGAGTTTGGACACCCAAAATATACACCCTTTTCTGTGCAAGTTTTATAAATGAGGACCTGTTCTTCGACTTCTCCAGTGCATTTACCACCATCCACCCTCTCTTACTGAGGGAGAAACTGGAGAAGATTGGAGTTGATCCCATCTTTACCCACTGGATTTAATTACCCCATTAATTACCCAATTACCCCATTATGGAGGTCACAGTATGTCAGGTTAGGGAAGAGCGTGTCTGGGACTGTTGTGAGCAATGCAGGAGCACCACAGGGTACTGTTCTGGGTCCCTTCCTCTTCACTGTTTACACTGCAGACTTTGCACACAGCTCTGCTACATGCCATGTACAAAAATACTCGGACTATACCGCTGTTGTGACATGGGGGGATGAAGCAGAGTACAGGGAGGTGGTGGCTGCCTGCTTAGACTGGAGTGAGAGAAATAGTCTGATTCTCAATGCGTTCAAGACCAAGGAGATGATCATCAACTTTCCCATCGACCGGTCACAGTCAATGGGAAGTGGTTCGAAGTGGTTCACTCCTATAAATATCTGGGAGTCCACCTGGACCACAGACTGGACTGGTCAGCTCAGGCCAATGCCATCTACAAGAAAGGTCAGAGCAGACTTTTCCTCCTGAGAAGTCAGAGGTCCTTTGATTTTACCAGTCTGTAGCTAGTGCCGTGTTCTTTGGGGTTGCATGTTGGCACCAGTCTGACCTCAGAGACAGTAACTGGCTCGACAGGCTGATCATGAAATGTGTCTCTGTGATGGGGAGAAGTGTGGACTCTGTGGGAGCTGTGCTGGAGAGAAGGATGAGGGCTCTACTGCAGGGCATGCTGGGTAACTCCAGACACCCTCTGCATGACACTATGGCCGCTCAGAGGAGTCATCGAAGCAACAGGCTCCTATCACTGCGCTGCCGAACGGAACGCTTCAAGAGATACTTTGTTCCTTCAGCTGTCAGACTGTACAACAAACCTGGATGAGTCTAAATCAATAAAGTATCTATCTATCTATTACAGAGGTTTGTGCGAGAGGTTTGAGATATTCGCGAGGACAGAGACAAAATCAGCCTAAATGTTTCCCTATTGTTGACCCTGAAGCTTGACCCGTCATCCGTCATGACGATCCAATACGCTACGTTAAGGACAACAATTTAACCTTTCATTAGAGAGATAAAGGAGGTATTTCTTCTGAATATCGATGCAGCCGAGGAATGCAGCTCAGAGGTCCTACCCTGAGCATGTGACATCTTTCCACCCGTGAGTCAACACAGTGCGGCGGCTTTTGCTTTTGGAAGCACGCACAGAGAAAACAGCCCTTCACTTTGAGCTCCACTAAGTTCATGAATACAGGTATGAAGTGAATAGCCAGGATTCTAAGATCATTCATACAGGTTTATAACATTCAGTGAAAAAATGATATGTGCTGAAAAGAAAGTAATCTCCATTAAGAGCTTTGCAAATGTTGTAGCCATACAGGAGTCACATGCCAGACCTATTGTACATGTTTTTAGTGGAAGGGGAAAATGGAGCACCCGGAGGAAACCAACGCGTAGTGAGAACATCATCAAGAATCACTTGAAGTCCAAGTCTGGTACTGAGTCACAGAAGTTTCTAGACTTTTTATAATATTTTTATATTACTGTCAGTTATTGGCGTTCATATTCCCATTTTAAGATAAGATGTGCTTTATTTATCTCACATAGGAGAAATTTACATGTCACATTTGGCATGGATAGAGACACTGCAAAGGGAGGAAATGTGCAAACATGTTACATGCAGGATATATGTACAATAAAGTGACAATAATTATGTACAACAAAAGTGACAAGTGTCAATTGGAAACAGTGTCAATAGTAGTGCAGGTTTTCACACAGTGATCATTTAAAGTGACTTATTGTACAGTCTGACAGCGGTAGCGCTCCTTCCTATTTTATATATTTTTTTACCACACGATTAACCCGAGCACAAAGCGCTGCTGTTGCTATTCCTTTGAAGTGTAGACAAAAGATAGAAAAAATGTAAGTATTTCTGAGTACTGCAATAATGAAAATACTATTAGACTTAGAAGTATGAAAAGTAAAATAAATAAAAAAACATAAAATAAGAAAACTGAGTAAAAACTTTCAGCAGTCACTCATGACTTTAGACTGGATGGATACAACATGGGGATAGATGTATGGAGATACATAGAAAGATACTTTATTGATCCCCGTAGGAGAAATTCAGGAGTCCAGTAGCAGCAAAAACACCACACATCCATACAAACAAAACATATAAATTGATCATTCTAAAAAGCTAACAATAGTTATAATAAAATGCAACAGCACTTCAGGTCACAGGGTGGAGCAGGACGGGTCACAGCAGCAGAGGTGGAGTAGCCTCTGGGTGGAGCAGGACTGGTCACAGCAGCAGAGGTGGAGTAGCCTCTGGGTGGAGCAGGACGGGTCACAGCAGCAGAGGTGGAGTAGCCTCTGGGTGGAGCAGGACAGGTCACAGCAGCAGAGGTGGAGTAGCCTCTGGGTGGAGCAGGACGGGTCACAGCAGCAGAGGTGGTGTAGCCTCTGGGTGGAGCAGGACGGGTCACAGCAGCAGAGGTGGAGTAGTCTCTGGGTGGAGCAGGACGGGTCACAGCAGCAGAGATGGAGTAGTCTCTGGGTGGAGCAGGACGGGTCACAGCAGCAGAGGTGGAGTAGCCTCTGGGTGGAGCAGGACAAGGTCACAGCAGCAGTGGTGGTGTAGCCTCTGGGTGGAGCAGGACGGGTCACAGCAGCAGAGGTGGAGTAGCCTCTGGGTGGAGCAGGACGGGTCACAGCAGCAGAGGTGGAGTAGCCTCTGGGTGGAGCAGGACGGGTCAAAGCAGCAGAGGTGGAGTAGTCTCTGGGTGGAGCAGGACGGGTCACAGCAGCAGAGGTGGTGTAGCCTCTGGGTGGAGCAGGACGGGTCACAGCAGCAGAGATGGAGTAGTCTCTGGGTGGAGCAGGACGGGTCACAGCAGCAGAGGTGGAGTAGCCTCTGGGTGGAGCAGGACAGGTCACAGCAGCAGTGGTGGTGTAGCCTCTGGGTGGAGCAGGACGGGTCACAGCAGCAGAGGTGGAGTAGCCTCTGGGTGGAGCAGGACGGGTCACAGCAGCACAGGTGGAGTAGCCTCTGGGTGGAGCAGGACGGGTCACAGCAGCAGAGGTGGAGTAGCCTCTGGGTGGAGCAGGACGGGTCACAGCAGCAGAGGTGGTGTATGCTGAATGCTTCATTAGCATTTTTCAAAAAGTTAGCATTCCTTTGCGGCGTCGAACGGCCCTCGCGGCACCGTGCAAAGGCACGCCATCTTCCTACAGTCCTGATGGGAGCGACTAGGGTTGCCAACTTGAGAACAAAAAAATAAGGGACACCCTTTGGGTGGATCGGGTTGAGCACTTTTTGTCCTAATTTCAATCTACACAGGAATCATTGAATTTCATAATCAGTTTTTAGAACTTAATTTATTGACTACATATAGTCAAAAATGACATTTAATAAATAGGTGGAACTCTTTGGCTGGTTAAGGACTTAATGCATTCTTATTAGTCAAAGAAAATATAAAAAGACAAATGCTGTA